AAGGCCGTCATGGAGGGAAGGCTGTCATGAAGGGATGATGGTCATGGAGGGAAGGCCGTCATGGAGGGAAGGCCTTTATGGAAGGCAGGCCCTTACGGAAGGAAGGCTGTCACGGAGGGAAGGCCGTCATGGAGGGAAGGCTGTCATGAAGGGATGATGGTCATGGAGGGAAGGCTGTAAAGGCCCGGAGGGCTGCCGCAGCTCATGCAGATCCCAAGGGAGCACAGGGCCTGGACAGGATTGCAGCCAAAAACCCTAAAAACGCGGACTGAGCCCCTCAGACTGTTCTGGGAAGGAAGAGCTTTGTAGCTGCCATGGCAAAATCCCTCCATCGTCCTAATAAATTCTACTTTTAACAGACACGTAATTGAGATCTCTAGCCTAGAGTCTGCCACAAAATTGGGACTGCTGAATGTTAAAGGTCTCTCCTGGGTCTGGCATTTTAAATTTAAAATACAGTAAACCTCCTTGCCCACTTCAGTGCATTTTCCATAAAATAATCCCTTTTTTTGCTTAAAAGAACATCAGTATTTTTTCTTAACATTTCTCACTCAAAAAGACTTGCTGTGCGTGATACACAATCCAGTCTCTCTCTTTTATTTCTTTTTTTTTTTTCTTACTGTAACCTATAGCTGCTAATTTCCAAGCAACAGCCAACAAAACGTGTAGGAGAATTAACACTTTTGTGAGAGATCTTCACAGGTTGATGACAGCGACGTTCCCCAGAACACAACACTGAAAGCAAAGAGAAACTTCTTGCCTGGTTAGGAAGCAGGAGGGAACCCTACTGCGGGGTTGGTGAGATGCAGAAAACTCCAGGAACATCTACAGAAACCAGCTATACTAACATATATATATCTAACAGAAATATCAGCTATAAGTGCATGCATCTCTGACAGAGATATCAAAGATATCTGTGCTGTAATTTAAGATTTCTTCTCCCTGTGCCAAAGGTTTCCAAACTATGATCTACAGATCCCAGACAGTCTTTAGAAAACTGTCTGCTCCTGACATTACTGCTCCTAACTGATAAATTGCTGTAGAAAGAACTAAAAATGTGTTTTATCTCTGGTATTACTTCTTAATGGAAGCAATTACAGCAGCTGCCACATGACAATATGGGAATCGAAGCGGGAGGCACAGTGGCTCAGGAGGCAAACCTTGCCATTAAAATGCATTTATTCTACACATCATGGACCTTGCTCCTCTTCTCCCTAATGGCTGCCTTTCTCATTTAAATTTTCTGTAGTTTCCAGACGCTCCGGCCCATTGGGAGATTGCCTTCCTTCTGTGGGAATTCCTTGCTCCGCAGCAGCCACCAGCTCACGGATGGAGCAGCCTCTAAACCTGGACTCCCAAGAAGGCACCGACACCAACAGGGAAAGGCCACGACAAATGCAGCGCATGCCCCAAACCTGCTCCTTTTTTTCCTGGGTGGATAAACACCAAACTCGTCCTTAGTGCATTACAGGGTAAAAATGAATAGTCTGGGAGCGTTTTGCCCAGATTGTTTGTTGGTACCGACACTATCTGCACACCAATAAGCTGCCGAGTTTGTCAAAACCCTGCCATAATTCTTCTATATTCCAAAAGCAACATGTTGGGGGAACACAATTGTCTTTTTAAACTTGCACTGCTATTGTTTAGAAAAGCTAACAAAATATCTATTTACATATTCTGGCAGTGACACCCTCCAAAACTTCCAACAAAAGCCACGCGCTTGGCATTGGATCAGCCTGCCAGAGTGATGCTTTAAAACGATGCAGATACAATTACTTTTAACAAGCAATATCCAGCCAAAATACTATGAATTTTATGCATAAAAATAAAGATTTTATACAGGTTTTTCTCACAGCAGCTCTGTTGAATCTTAATTGAAACTGTTGGTAGGAATAAGAAAGAAAAAAGAAAAAAATCAATAGACCTTCTGAGTCACTACTGACACTGATTTAAAGGAGCAGTGGATTTTCACCCTATTACTTTTTATTATGATTTTCACGAGCGCAACAGTTAAAAGCCTTAGTTATGGATCAGAACTATACAAAAGTCTCTGAGGATTTAAATTCTCCACATGACTCTAGCGAGCACTACAGTTCATGCTAATATCTGGCCTGAAAAACATTAGCAGAATGCAGACTTTCTCCAAACCTGCCAATAAATTAACCACACGAAGCAGGCACCAGCTTGCACACTGTAGTTTTCTCCTCCACCCCCGAGATCAAATATAGCTCTTCTGCCTTGAAATACTG